AGACACTCAAGGTCTTTTGTTGTTCCTCAGACCAAAACGAACAGATTTAGAAACAGTTTTTTCCCTTCATCTGCAAGGCATATCAATAATATTAACTGACAATCGATTCTGATATTCAGTTTTAGACTGGCTAACTTTTTTTTAGAAATTTACTAGTTTCATAGCTAATTTGTAATGTAACTTTAAACTTCTGTAATATAGAATTATAAATTGTAATGTAATTTTAAACTTCTGTAAATATTGAATAACTAATTTAATCATTTCTCTTGTAAAATTTAGCACGCAATTCAGCCTCTTGGCTGCTATGTGTTAATCTTATTAAACAAACAATCTATCTACAATCTATCTATATACACAGAAAAGCATGTCATTGTCCATGCAGACCATAGGCAAAAAGCATTTGTCAACCACATACCAAATTTAAGCAATCGTTAAATCATATACATGTCATGGAAAGAATATGGAAATAATGTTGAATGAAAGCTAGCATCGCGTATAATATTAAAAGCACCGCATATAGTGCTCGAACCACTGCGTATAATTGCAAAAGCACCGCGTATATAAATGGTGAAAGCACCGCGTATAACACTGGAACCACCGCGTATAATGGCGAAAGCACCTTGTATATTGCCGAACGCACCGCCGTATAATGCTAAAAGCACCCAACAATGGCGTTTGATCACTCCATAGTTAACTATGATCACTCTAAGCCAGCTATGGCTTTCCATAAAAGAAGACCAAAGATGAAAGATGATCACATCGCCTGTTTGCCTTATGCCTGACCGCGCTGCACCACGGTTAAAATTCACTGGTACCGTCATGCAATGCGCCAAATAGAAAATTTTGATTTCGACCCACAAAACAAAATTAGGATCTGCTGCCTTGCTCGCTCGCTTCAGGCTCGCTCGCTGCGGCAGCAATCATCTGTCCATCCACATGTGTTTAAGACTATGTGAGGATTATAAGTTTATTTCTTAGTATTTAAGTATAGGTGCAGTTAGATTGCAATTATGTACATACTCACAGGGTCTTGAAAGAAAACCATGCCGTGACATATGTGAAGCCTATATGGTTTGTGTCATGTATCTAACTATTGATAGATAGAATAGGTAGATGTTGTACAATCTACAAAAATGTGGTTTATAGAATCGGGCAGAACATTTAATATGTTGGCTTGGGTAGATGTTTTACAATATACAAAAAACGTGGCGCCCAGGGTCTGGCAAAAAATTTGACTGTACAGTATGGCAATCATTATATGTAGTATATACTATATGGATTAATACTGTTAAGTAATATATAAATGGCCTTGGACAAACCATCCAAAGTGGTACAACAAAATTACATTAAGGAGATAAATCGGATGGTATTGGAGAGATGTTGTGATTTTTAATGAAACATTGAATAGTGACGTGACTGTGTATTGGGGCTATAGCAATTAAACCTCATGCACAGAGTCTTAATTGGATTGATCGTGCTTGTGAAGTATGTTAGCATGCAGATGGTATATATGGCAGATACAGTATATATATATAGCTATAGTTGTGTTATAATTGTGCTTTTTCATTTGTTTGGCCCTCCAATTACAATAGAGATAACAGAATTAGAATTGAAGTTCCATATCTTTCGAAGTTCCATTTTTAAATCCTGATAATGCTGTATCTTCTCTCTTTCGTTTTCTAACAATCGCGTCTCGAAGCGGTCAAGCTACGTCAATAATCTGGGTTTATTTCTACGAACTCCAGCGGTACATGAGTTGCCTGATATAATATCGCCGTGTCACATAACTCGGATGCGCTATACTCCGCCTGTCGCTTCAATATCAAGGTACTGAAATGTTTGAATTAGCAAACTAATCATGCAATATTGCTGGTGAGACCATATCCTGATTCTGTTGATATCAGACAGGATAGATATTCTTAATTCTCGCAGCTAATTTTGAGACATTTGAATTAAAAATCTGTATTTTGACTGTTGTGGGGGTGCACTCACTAAGGCATGGGTACAAAAGCGACTGACTCGCGACAATGTAGTTAGACCTCAAAAGGCAAGAAAGTGCGCTTTCAAGATGGCGGACGATAGCCAAATATAGCGCACATGCATGCATATATGGAGAACAAAACTCGGCAATAAAAAATCCGTTGCTACGAACCGCTTCAAATGCAGTCAGCGAAAACAGCGTAAGACAAAACGACATATTGAAAAGGCTCAGTACTTTGATTTTCAGTAATAATTAATTAAAATGTTTAGTAATTAAAGCGGCTCTGATGCGACTCAGCCAATAAAGACCAATAAATTTTAAAATATCATACTGTCACTGTGTCAGTGTACCGCATGAATTAATACAGCAATATTAAAATGTTTACTAATGATCTTCTTGATTTAACTAACTGTAGTCTGTGCGTTTCTGACCCTGCTGAATGCTTCCACAGTTCCAGCAACATATTGCATGATTAGTTTGCAAATACATACAGTTCAGTATCTTGATATTGACGCGACATGCGGAGTAGTGCGCGCATTGGAGTTATGGCCGATACCGCGATATCATCAGGCAACATTTCGCTGGAGATCGCAGCCATAAACCCTGACTCATATCTCAATATTGACAGCAAATTCAGAATTTGAAAAGAAAACGTTTGAGCTAGTAATAATAATAATAATAATAATATTTATATCAACAATACTATTAATTGTTGTAGAGACATACCCTGCAAACACCAATATTGCAATAACATCATTTGTTAGCGGTTAGCGGGCAAGAATTATGCACATACATGCATGATATATCACCATAGCAAAGCACAGGAAATGTTTTTCAACTAAATCCTTACGGTGGAAAAGTATTGATTTTCGTTAGAAATAGTATGGAAATCAATTTTTTACACTAATTGCGATTTCCATGCTATGGATATATTGTATAGTTTGGAAATAATATGGATATATACTATGTCTATATGAATTTCGTGATACAATTGCAAATTCCATAGTATGGATTTCACTTTTTTCCCCAGTGAAACACGAGGTGCATGCATAGCACCAGGAAGCCCATTTTTTCAAACCCGCCATTCATTCAAGAATCCTCAAAACCTTCAATAAAATAAAGCGACTGCTACGCAAGCTGCAGCAAGATGTATCAATATTTAAATCGAACAATGTAGGCATTTTTGCATGACCGTGCTAAAAATTAGCATAAAATGCCGTCGATTGATAACCGGCACTGTAGAGTATAATTAAATAATTAAATTTAATTACAACGACTCAATAAATTGCGCTAAGCATCATTGTTACTGTTTAGTTTCGTAATAAATTAGTTTCGAAATTTCTTGAGTTGTTGTACTACATCTATATCTATATAGTATATTTGTGTGAAAGTGCTCAATATACCAAAAATAGTGTATAACCGGACTTTTAAGTTGTCTGCCGATGACCCGCGTTGTTAGTGCATGGGGTATCAAAAAGAGTACTAACAACAAACAGTTTTTAAAGATATGGTTCTGATGATGAGTGTATGATGAGTCACCTGATGATTCCTTCATTAGATGAATCAGATTGTGAGTGGCAATATTGCCATAAGCGAAATTATAGTCTAAATTAAAACATCGACATATGAACGTAGACAAAAGACTATGCAAAAGTTAGAGCCTAAAATTTTACTACCTTTTGTTCATTTCGTTGCCAGGCGCAACTATATATATATTCAATCCCACAACGCGATGATAATTCAATTTCCAAAGTATCTAAAAAATAGTGCATATAGCCATAGGTTGGCCAATAATTTTAGTAAATAAAACTTTGTAGGTTGGTCGATGGCACCGCACTCGCAGACGTACCGATTGAAATACTTAACAAATTACCAAATCTTAGAGCATTGTGAGTATGAATTCGTAAATTACTTCTGCGATAAAATTTGTTGGCTCGCAAATTGCGCGATAGCGATAAAAAATCACATTAACCCGCCACTCCCTAGGTCCAAGTACCAAAATGTAGATTATATTCAGTTCATATTATATTAAGTTTCTCACTCATTGGTGAGCAGAGTTCCCAACAGAAAGTTTAACTATTTTACTGATGTCAGTGTTAAGGTAGCACTTTCTCCTCAATTATTCTCAAAACTTTGCGTGGAGGTCCGACCAAGGATTGAACCCAGGTCTCCCAAGCTTGAAAGGCAAGCGTGATGACCACGACACCACAAAAGCGAGTTAAATCACAACATCACAAGAGCTGGTTAATATTTCGCTTGCACTACGTTTGTCTTGTAGGAATGTTCGTAATAACGAGAAAATGATTACACCTCTGGATCCAAAGATTTTTTACCAACCTTCCTCACTACGATTCCTGTAAGTTTGCTTGTTTAGAAAATGCTTTAAAAGACAAAATAGAGTAATAGACAAGACTTCACGCACCATACTAACGAAAAGACCTGAACAGGCAATGCATATGAGAACAACTAGAACAAGGAATAAAACACCTAGCATCATAGGCGCACGGGAAACGAAAATTTTCCCAACCCCGATGGAAATTACCAGACCTATATATTACAAAACATTTTCCCATCTTTTCTACATCGTGCTTCCCTTTCATCATCAAGACCCACCATAGGTCTCTCGAAAAGGTCTTTTATATTTTAAAAAATCCATACAATTTGCTTTAAATGCAATGCTTTGACATGCAATGCTTCAATATACAGTAAAACCTCTATACAAATTTAAAACTGTATACAAAAACTTAATGACGAAAAAACTTGTACATAAACATCGAAATTCATTAAAAAAACCAACTCACTATGGTAAGACATAACTTTAATACTTCTACATTGTTTTTTGTTCTCTCATCACTTTAAAACGAGTTAATTTTGCATGCATGCGGTTACCCAAATTATATGACCATGCAATGACAACGCGGATATGATGTGCCTCCCTTTTGGAATATTAAAATTAAAAATAAATTTTTTAATAAATAGGTTCACAAGTGGGTATGCTGATTGTTGCAATATTAAGCGAATGAAGAAAAAGAATCCAGATATTGATGGACCGAAGTCAAATAAATGGTTTTGTTCATTCAAGAACCCGTACGGTTGGAAGGAATCGTGTGGTAAGATGTACAAAATATTAAATAACTTGTTTTGTAATAATGCGATCACAACGGGGTGTAGAATCTGGATTGGAATCTTCATTTCTCAAGGTCGCAACAAACCTGCAAACGAGGATTTGTGGTGGGTTTTAAACAACCTGGCCCTTGCCTTTCGGAACGTGCTTGGTTTCAATACGTTTAACGAAAGAACACGAAAATATTCCTTTTTTGAATATTTGTATTATAGTTATGACATTTCCCTTTGTAAACGCGCGTTTCAACACTTACACTTGGCCAGTCCGCTTCATTCTCTATATATGAGTAATCTTGATTGTTTATTTAAAAACTGCGAATTTGCGACAGTGTAAAAGGAAATGGCACCAGCCGAATAATGTCTTTTTGCCCTGGGGTGACTTGCATGGAAGAAAAAAACGTTTGCATCAACATGTTCAATGGTCTATTGCAATTCTAATTTATGCATTAATTCCTACTCAAAAGTAGTCATTAAATTAGCTTTTCCTGCGTTTGGTATATCCGCTACTTTTGAGGTTCTGCCTCTTACAATTCTGAGAGTGTAGGTTGTGTGTAAGATGGTATATATATAGATTTACAGATATTAATATTGGCTCGCGTGAGAAAGATTAATTAAACTCACTCCCTTTACATGCACTAGGCTTGGCAATGAAGTATCATCCAAAAACGTCTCTTTTACTTTTAGCTATAAGAATTCGCTCCGGAACGGATGATGATACACATATAGGACAAGTGGAGGTTAATGTGGAAAAATCAGAAATATGGAAAAAAATATTTAGTAGTAATTGGACTATGAATGAAGCGAACGTGGTTTGTAAGGAAGCCGGGCACGGAAAAGCGCTGGAATTCATAAATGAGAAACACTATCCCAGACGAAAGTCCTTGGATGACACAATTTTCCCTGCCGACGTTTCCAATGAAGAACAATATTCAGTATCATGGATAGGAAACTGCAGTGGCTCTGAGTACTCAATATTACGATGTGGCGAACTTAATCCAACTCATATTACCACTGCTGTGCCAGGTGTTGGCGTTAGATGTCAAATTCCTGGTAAGAAACATTACATAGTCTACTTGTAATTCAACTTTCTTTTTGCACCCCGTTTTGGCATACATGCAGGCAGAGGCGCCGGAATATCGATAATAGCGAGGGCAGATATTCATATATTCGTGTTCACAGACTGTAAAAACAGAAATTAATTGTGCAGAACACGAATATATGAATATTTGCCCCCCCCCCCCAATTATCGATATTCCGGCGCCTCTGCATGCAGCTTGTAATTAATACTAGAAAATACATACATGCAGAAACCCTCGCCTTGCTGACAAAACCATTGATTGTATTTTCCGAAGAAAAAGTATTTTAAAGTAGTTGTCATGATAACACGATAATTTTATTGAGAATGTTTTAGAAATGAAAAATCCCCTAAAAATATCACTTTTAATTACACAATTATCAATTTCCCAAACATATAATTATGTTAGGTATATGTTATACGTAATATAAGCTTCAATTTAAGGTAAAATTCAACCACAAAGGCTTCGCAAAACATTTTAAAATGTTCTTTATAAAATTAAACTGGATTTAACGATAACTTTGAGTTTGAAATAAAATAATTTCAAATTCTCGCATGCAAATAACTCTGCTTTCTTTTTTATATAAAAAATTTAATATAATAAAAAAGGGTAATCAATAAAGATACACTGAAATTATATGCACGGTGTCCTTTTTTCATTTAAAATATACGCAACGACTTCCCTGCTAACAGAGGTCTCTATATTTGTGCAGGAAGCGAAGGAGAAGAGACCTCTGCTTGTGCAAAAATTGCCATGACAACGAGTGATATTCACTACCTGATATCACGCCGCGGTTTTTAGCAACTTGGTAAATCAAAGATTTACCGTACTCAGTTTGAAGGCAAACAAATGTATTTCGGCCCGATAAAACAGAAGAGATTTCTTTCGTTTGTTCTTCTGTTACTGCTTTCACAGTTTCATCTTTGAAAATATCAATTACATAACTTAGAGCACTTTCAAACAACATGAAAAACCTTGAAATGACCACGCTGGGCAATTAACAATTAGCCATGCACCATTTTGATACTACAGGCTCAATGTCATTACAGCATAATTTAGCTCTGATTATGCGTACTATTTGTTTCCCTAAACCGGTTTCAGAACTTGTTTTACAAACTAGTTTGACTCGTCCACGATCATGGACTGAGGCCGTCAGATCCAGGCGGAGGTTTCTTCTCCTTCTCTTTCCTGCGCAAATATAGAGACTTCTGTCAGCGGGGAACGCAACGACCAGCTTTTAAAGCAATTATAAAGTAAATAATACATCAATATTTAAAAGAAACTTACCTTCGTAATTCGTTAACGTCTGCGCCTTTGCTCCCTTCTTTTCAGCAAATCCTTTCGCCTTTTTTTCTCAAAAAGCTTTTGAAATTTACAAAAAAATGAAATATATTTGCAAGAAATCATTAAATCGTCAAATTAAGACATGTTTGCTATGTTTACTGATATACTCAGGCCTACTCCGCTGTGGGTCAAGGTCGCCGTAATTATGTGCAACATTGTGCGACATTTAATATAGGCAACATTGGCAATTTTGAAAGAAATGTAGCATATATATGCGTCGCTGGTCGAAACTGCGTGGGCGACATAGGGCAAAATTAGGAGAAATTAGGCGACCTTGGCCCCCAAAGTAGGCCTATACTCAGTAAAACCCGCAATGTTCTTGCCCTATACTAGCTTGAATGGCGAAAACTCTTATACATGCAGCTGTGGCTGGTAGTTACAACTAGCACTGATGTTTCTAATTTTCTTGGTAGTTTTTTCTAATCGGAATTAGTATAATTTAAGTATTGAAAAATGGCCTTGAGCATTCTAATTAGCTCCCTCGGCAGTAACCCTGAGGTAATAGTTACTGCTCTGATCTGCTGTGAGCAGTAGGCCTATATGCTTTTCCAAAAAAATGGCCAAAAATCCTCAAAATCGACTTTGCGAAAAAGCCTCTGTCATTCCTGTGAAAACAAAGGAGCAACAAATATGGTGTGAAATTATTTGAAACCGGTACAAAAATGACTCTTTTATATTGCCCTCGTATATTTAACAATTTATTTTACAATTAAAAACAGGTAAAAACATACAGTTGGGAGTGACACTGCAGTAATATTTATGTCTTTTGTCAGTTGTATATTTATAAATAAAACTTTTTTAATACTGAGTTTATACTAAAACAAATATATATGTATATATAGTCGCCTCAGGCTCAGTGATTACAAGCCTATACATTCATGACTTCGCATACATTTTAGTAAGAGATACATTAATTGGTATATTTCATTATATAATGTCCAAGACTTTTTAGTCACAGTTTTACATATGATTTTTCCATGTCAATATTCATTGCAGATGAAGAAATGAAGAAAATTTGCAAACATGAAGGTCCTGGGAAAACAATTAATTGTAAAAGCAAAAACCTACATAATTTACCTTGGCAGAATACGAACAACACAATAATTGAAAAGTACGTATCATCATGACCATATTCCTTGCATGCGCAATTTGTTACTGGGATGCATGCATGGCGGTGCCATATTTTGGCTTGTTTGGTTATATGCAAACAATATCTCATGCGCTACAGTACGTTCTGATTCCTGACAAGCGCTGAAAGGGCAAGACTGTTCCCGACTATATTTACTATAATTTTGTTAATGTTGAGTTTGGATCACTGAGTAAATTATATTAATATACTTACACTGAAACCATTTGTTTGGAAAAAGTAGATTTATGTATGCACGTGCAAGCGTGAAAGATTTTCACACACGAGCTGACAGGTTTTCCGATGGTAACAATTAATAAATTTTAACTGACATGCAAGGATGCCGGAGTTTATTGTGCATCGGGTATTACATGCTTCCAGTTAACACCTGTTCGTTAGATTAGTGTTTTAGTAAATTATAAGAGCTTTGAGTGATTGTGCATGGAGGAAACGAGTGAAAAAGGTAAAAATATACAAAATCATTCTATCTTTATAAAAAGCAGGTTTTCAAAGATTCGCAGACTTTTAAAAATGAGTTGGAGTAGCATTTCTCGAAATCTAAAATCAAAATATATACCATCATCTCCATATATATATATATATATATATATATATATATATATATATATATATATATATATATATATATATATATATATATATATATATATATATATAGTTTTTCGTTTTACCTCAAAAAACCACAACAGTCTGTTTCATTAACATCAATGTAAAATATATTTACTTTCAATCATCATTCGGTTTTAAAAGTAATTCGCATTATTTTTGAGGTAAAACGAAAAACTATATTACGCTCTATCTATATGGTATTGAGCACTGTTTGTGTTTCGTAAACCAAAATCTTAAGATATATATATATATATATATATATATATATATATATATATATATATATATATATATATATATATATATATATATATATATATATATATATATATATATATATATATATATATATATATACTGGATCCAGAAAAGTTTGACCTTCGAATATATATATATGTTGGCCATTTTGAATTTTCTTGGGTTAATTATACGCGAACGCATACATCAAATGTCGCTCGCAACGTATTGTATATTACAATATTATTCCAACGATCGTGACTAAAACACCACACGAGTACATACGAGTAACATACGAGTAACACACAAGTACATACGAGTACATACGAGTAACATACGAGTACATACGAGTAACACACGAGTAACATACAAGTACACACGAGTAACATACGAGTACACACGAGTAACATACGAGTACACACGAGTAACATACGAGTAAATACGAGTACATACGAGTAAAATACGAGTACATACGAGTAAAATACGAGAATTAGCACGCTTTCTTTAAAGTTTCTTTCACTTTCACACTTTCACTTTGGCTTCGTATTATGTTCATGTTGTAAATGCCTTATTGACATAGGCGTACGAGACAGGGACGGGGGGGGGGAGGGGCAACTGCCCCCAAAATTTTGGAAAACCATGGAAAATCGAGCAAACGCTAGGAAAAATCAAGAAAATTCGGACAGATTTATGAGAAAATATGTTAAAATCAGGTTATTTCTTTACAATTCCCCATAAAAATTCAGGCAAACTTTCAACTGCCCCCCCCCCCAGAAAACATCAGCCCCGTTCTCCTATGCGCATTGATGGATTTCGAAGCCTCGCACGACGTAGAAAAAGTAATTCATTAATATAGAATAAAAATTTGTATGTTCTAAGACTCTAAAAAGGTTTAAATGTAGTATATTGCTCACAGGCTGTCAGAGAGTTTTTGTAGTACATGAAAGTGCATGTTTGCCATGTTGTTTATACGTCTGTAGTCTATGTGTTTTGCAAATTTAATACGTGAATTGTACACCGGGAAATATAAAATACTTAGGGTTCATTATTTATCGGTTGGGGAGGGGGGAAGGAGCTGTTAGATTCTAAAATTCAAACAACATAATAAAAATGACCCTCCCTTTTAATGTGTTTAAAAATGTAGTCCACCCCTTTAGAACAGTCTGAAAATTTTTCACCCCCCTCCAACAATAAAGTTAAGAAGAACATAGTATGGCCGTATGGTAGTTCTTCCCATCCTATTCTTGTGTGCTCTTTAATTACAACCAGGGGCGTAGAGAGGACCTTCAACTTGGGGATGCTGGACAGGATTTAGCCAACGGGGAGGGGGGTGAAATAAAATCCAAATCCACAATATAATTGTGTATAATCTTGTCTAAGTAAGTAGATATGGCCCCAAGAAGAAAGGTTTACTTTGGGGTTTTAAATGTAAAATATATTTACTTTCAATCATCTTTCGGTTTTAAAAGTAATTCGCATTATTTTAACCCATCATTTTCCATCACGAAAAATCATGTCTTTTATGCATTATACAGTTTTCGGACTTATGCAAACTCGCACCCCGAAAATGCAGGAAATTGCATTTCAGGGACCCTAGATTTCAAAATATTCTGGGGAGTATGCCCCCAGACCTCCCCTAAAATGGCGCACGCCTTTTGCCCTGGCT